ATTGAAGTATTGAACACTAGATTATCGTTTTCGTCTAAGGACACTCTGATTGGACGAGCATTTGGGTTCAGATAGCACTTAGGCTGAACATTGTTAGCTCGAACAGGCGGGGAATCGGATGTCCATCGCTAGACACGACTTCCTGCTTTGACTAACGGTACGCACCGCCGTCCATCCTCAATGATCGCGGATCTTTTGATCTCTGTACACTCTTTCTCTCTCTGTACACTCTTTCTCTCTCTGTACACTCTTTCTCTCTCTGTACACTCTTTCTCTCTCTCTCTCTCTCTCTTTCTCTAAATTCATAAAATAATATTACAAGTAGACTGTGAATTTTATATATAATGTATAAAGCTATCTAGAATAGCAAAACCTGAATGCATATTTCAATATCTGTACGTATACTGATTTTATTCAGCAGCATTTTACAAACTATCTTATTGCACACACAGATACATACAATTCATTCATTCCTTCATAGACTCGCTCTCACTTCTATCCTATCCTAATCTACTATCTATTCTATTATTGCTTTCTATAGCACCTTCTATTCATGCTACTTATTAATCTTTACACACCTAATTCTTCGTGATATTCTTTCTTTTATTTTGATTTCAATGTTTATGAAAAACACATTTATTAAAATGATATCATAAACGTTTTATTTTGCATACTGCAAGTCTGCAGGCTAATTATAATTATTAACCAACCTCATTACTGTCCTCCGTTTCGCGATTAGAACGTTATTTATTCTCTATTTTAAAGATGAAAATGTAATCTCGTTTAGTATGAAGGAAATGTATATTAGCGGTAGAACACGTGTTTAGCCATATCTGTCAGTGGCCTCCGGGAAACCTTTTAGACTTTATTGCGTCGGAGGTTAATAGCTAATAAGGGACACACCTCTGCTTGCTATCAGCCCTTTCACGTTCCTGCCCACCCAACACGGCCTTTTATTATCCGCCTGCCTGCAGCTAGTTTTAATAAAATTACTTCTTATCACGCGACCCGGTCTCCTCTCTTCAATCTTTATTCTTGTATTTGGGCGCTGGCTGTCTATCGCGCCTCTTAAAATATATCAATAAAACTCGATTTTCATGCAGACTTACACTTGTATTAAAATAGAATAAAATATATATTTTACACATTATAAACGCATACAATTTAACGATTATATTCATGATACAGTATCGCGTTTCAGTTTGGAACAAAAGCATGTTTGTTTGCTTTAGTTAAAAGTGGTTCGCTTACTGAATTAAATGTCAACGAGACCGAAAATAAACGCAGGTAAACTGAAAGAACGATTTTTTCAAAGTTCTACTATCAGCTACACGATTTTGCTTTCAGCTCTACTAACTTTTTATTACCAACTGGGCAAACAATGCCAGTTGCACGAAGCATGTGCATTAAAGTGAACCTTGATTACGAGTTTGATACAGAATTATAGTCTTTTAAACAGAGTTAAAGAAATTCATTTTTATAATATTACAATTAAAGATGGGGACTTTTGTACAATTATAGAAAATTTTCGTTTGTGCAAAGTTGCCCTTATTTTATATAGTCTCGAAAAATGCATTTTATTAACAACTTCGACTTTACATTTAATAATAGTAATTTATTGTTTTAATAATGATTAGAATTTATTATCTATAATAATTTATTAATCAATTATGTAATTGATTATATACTCATGTGATTTAATGTAACGAAAATTAAATTTTTCCATGTGTACATGATAAATGGGTTGTGAATCGTTTTGGACAGCTGTAAATGGTACATCGATTTTTGCCTCAAATGCTTCGTTGAAATTCGCACTGTTGAAATTCTTAAAGATGTTTTTTTTTTAGTTCGATAAGGAAAATGTAAATGGTATGACGGTTGAAAACTCGTGACGCGCGACACGAGTACCGATTAATGAATTACGTCCGCGCATGCATAAGCAAGCGTACGTGAATTGTTTGGCTCCTCGCGTTAAGCGCGGGCGGGTATGCAAATTTCGACGAAATTACGACGAGTTTGGGCGGTTCGTTGAATCGTCGCGCATTCACGATCAGCTCAATTACATCATCCGGCTAAATAACTCTCGGCGAGCACACCGTATTTGATCGTGAAATATGTACGAGATATGTATATTGTGGTTGGAACGTATATGCGGGTAAATTTATCAGCAACGCTCCGGGTACACCCACATTTTACCAATGGATTAACGAACTTCCCTCCCGGATTGAAACTGTGAGAAATCCGCGCTATTAAACACTTTCGGAGTGCACGAGAGCGAGATTAACCTGTGGCTACAGTTTCTACAAAATATTGCATTTCTGTCGCAGATAGCAAGAATTAGATTAGATCAGATTTATTATAACTTTTCCTGTCCGGCTACGAAATGGAGACTTGCTACAAAAAACTGTCCACATTCACCCATAATGTCCATACCGTGTCTTATATTATGAATTATTTACATTTGTGTAAGGCAATAAAATAAATTCATTCTTTAGAATGACGTTTTAAATGTTGTATTGAAATTAAGCTGTAAAAAGTCTTGCGTCAGCGGTTGATACATCGTCTGAAATGCGGTAGGCAAGGTGTTGCTCGGTCGTAAGTTTAATTGCGCGAAAAACGGTGAAATTGTAATGTAACTCGGCCTGGTTCGCGTGTGGGATTGTAGGCTATCGATTCTTGGCCCGAAGAAAGTAAAACTCCGAAAGTAAGATCGCGAGCCGAGATTGAAACGGTCTATGCCGATCGGGTGGCTCGCGAAACGAAAACCGGAACGATGAATTATGTATGTGTGTCCAAAAAATTCTTCTCCGGAACGCGATAGACGAAAGCGAATCTGTAATTTCTGGAGTAACGCCTCTCGCGTTGTCGTCTCAAGCCAGTCAAATCTTACACTTGTCGCCCTTATATGAGAATACATATCTTCCGGTCGTCAGGTACCTCTTCAGAAAGAGGAAAATTCAAATCTGGACGACCGGAAAATATTCTCATATAAGGACGAAAAGTGTGGCCACGTAAATCCATATTTTGCACTGTTTTTGCCTGGTCATCGATAAAACTGAGCAAAAGACGGGAAAATTTTACCGATGCGTGTTAGACAAGTCACGTGACTACTCTAGCCCCTTAAAAAGTCTCAAGTTAATGAGTATCCCAATTTCTGTTCACATCACAATTTCTACTCACTGACTTATTTTTCTACAATTTTAAGACGACATAAATGTCCGTTCACTGGCTTCTTTTTCTATAATTTTAAGATAACATAAAATTATAGAAAAGTACGCCAGGGAGTAGAAATTGTGAATTGAATAATCGTACTTCAGAAATGTGAGAGGCAGTTACGATAACCGTGAGAGGATTGAAATGCTTTATGTGGGTGGAAAATTTTGTATTCACTGTCGAAGACGTGCCCACGTACGATTCTGACATAAACAAACGCAAGAGGGGAAATTTTCTTTACGTTTACCGACGAGGACCCCAAGGAATGCGAAACGTTGCGGCAAAAACGAAGAAACGGTCTCTTGAGATCTCGCGTCGCGTACCCGTGATGACGGGTTGCTCTTGAATACTGATTGCTAGCAAGAAGGAGAAGAATTCGAAACGCTCGTTACAACATTTAATTGTAATAACTAGACTGCGAAGTAAAACATTTATGATATCAATTTAAATAGAAAGTTCTTTTCGTTATTTTCTATACACTCAATTCCTCTACTATAAATGCACAAATAATTGCTGGATTTTATTTTACTACCTGCAAAGAAATATGAAAATATACAGTACTAGGATTCTACATAGAAGGATATTTTATAAGATTCTTGTTAGAATTCGAAGAAAATCTGAGGCTACAGAGAAAAATTGTAATCGAATACTTGAAGAAGAAAAGGGACAGAAAAATAACGAGGAGTGCGAAGGAATGGCAAGGAAAGGAAGACTGTTGACAAAGAAACGGATTAAGTCAAGGAGGTATGGAATAAATCAGCAGGGAAGGAAAATATGTAAGAGAAATGCTAAGGGTGAGAGATATAGAAATACAAAAACAGGAACTGTTTTAGTTAGAAGTAGTAAAGTCTCGATATAACCCAGATTTGAAGAAAGAAGGAACATGAGAGATTAGCTAAGGAAACTGAAGAATGAAGGGAGGTCTGTCGGAATATGTAAGGAAAAAGGGAACCTTAGGGAGTCGACGATTAATGGCAAGGCCGAGGTATGGAAATTCGGGAAAGTGGAATAGATATTTGGGGAAGGAAGGAAATGTGACCTCTTAGACCTAATAAGATAAGTTAGAACACCTGCTGAGGTATTGAAAAGTAAAAAGTATAGGAATAAAAGAAGTAGTTAACGGAAAAAAGGACATGAAGATGGAAGTTTGGCTAAGGAAACTGGAGAAAAAAAGAGGAAAAGAAGAGATGGATAATCCAGCGAAAGGGTAAGAGAATAAGAATAACCAGAGACGAAAACTTAAATAAAACCTAAGTAACAAACTACAATATTTAAATTTCATAAATACATAATTATATTCAGATCATAGATATTAGAGACATGTAGGAAATTGAAAGAAATGTAATAGGCAGGATGCTGTAAACCTTGTTCAATTTTCTTAGTCATGAGGCTGAAAAAATAAAGTATTACATTGCATTATATCAGCACTTTTTCCTCTTGTCAAAAGAGAACAAAATAGCATTTGATAGAAGAAGGAAGAGGAAAAAAAGGACATGCGGTAACCCTGTATTATATATTATTTTACAAGGTTTTTATATTCACGTAATTCGAATATTAAAAAACTATATAAAGTCGATAATCGAAGGTTTAAATGAATCAGTTCCCCGGAAGTAGAGTCTCATTAATCGGGTGTTGGAACAACGAAAAAAGTATCGAGACGAAAAGAGAGAAAATGGAATAGCCATCAGCGGTAGAGGTCTGGCAAGTGGCAGGTTCGTTATAGGATATAGTCGCGAGTGAATCGAGAGAGGGGATGCGTGATAGTCGGCCGGAGTAGTAGAACTGGAAAACACCTCGGTTCAGTTCAGACTCGGACGTCCTCCGTCGCTCGCCTGCGATTCTTCGGCCCGTTCGTTTATTTTTTCATCCCCGGCTCCTCCTCGTTACCGGCTACTTTATCACAGCCGCGGAACAATTACCGTGATTCTCGGTTCGAATCGGCTCGTTACGTAATTCTACCTGGTCCTTCTTCCTACTCGGACGAAGAAACCGGACGGAGCGGTAACTCGTTACACAACGTTGATCGTTAAAGACGCGTGAAAACCGAGCGGGTGATGCGTTCGTCGAACGGTTGCGTAGTTCCAAAGCTGTAGATGTGACGAAAGAACAGATGAAACTATCAGCGGTCGTCTCAATGTGTCGAATAAAAAATAAGAGGATGAACGAAAAACTATGGAACGAAAAGTTGTCGTCGGGAGAAGTGTGGATCCGTTAGAAATCATGTGACCGTTCTTTCAAAGAGATAAAAAGTTCAAGTCTCATTGTCTCGTACATGCAGTTCGCATTCGAATGGAAAGTGCCGGATGAGAGGACGATTTCCAGGCGAGAGCACGGATAGGATAATTCTGGTGTCTCGAGGCTCCTGCGGAGTTAACAGGGAAAGTGGAGATAGCCGAAGGGAAACAAGGAGAGATGCAGGAGTCTGGGAACACGTGAGATCGGTGTGCAAAACTAAAGGGAACCTATTGATATTCCTAAGGGAAAATGGCTCTAACCGCGTCGAGAAACAACTCGCCTGTCGTACGGGACAAGGAAAACACTCCGGCCTATGACGTACGTATTTAGAAAACTCTCATACTCACTTTGATCCAGGTGCAACTTCGTTTAGAAGGAAGAACATTGCTTCGATTAAAAGCTTTATAATCTAAATTAAAGAAAGCAAAATCTAATTGAATTTGGAAATATGTAAACAATTATTTTATATTTCTGAGAAAATTTCCAATGATTCCAGTAAGAAAACCATTCCCTTACTACTATTAAAATACTTGAATTAAGAGCTTTACAATTAAAGTTAGAAAACCAAAATCTAAATTAACTTAAAAATATCTGAACAATTATTTTATACTGCTTCGAGTCTTTCAACAATTGAAGAAGGAAAACTTGTTCTACTATTATTAGAGTACTTGGATTAAGAGCTCTACGCGTAAGGTTAGATAAGAACAATCTAAATTGAGTTAAAAATACCTAAGCAATTGTTTTATGTTTCTATGAGAATTTCAACAATACCAAAAGGAAACATATTGCCTTGCTATTATAGTACTTGGATTACAAGCTTTATAACTGAAGTTAGAAAAGCAGAATCTGAATTGAATTTGAAGATATTTTAACAACTGTTTCATGTTTCCGCCATAATTTCAAGATTACCTGTTCGCTTAAGGTGAAATGATGATAATAAGGCGTTTAGAAGTAGTGCCGGACGATCGAGCGAATACGTTATTGGCTCGGCGGAATATTAATAGCGGTAGCATTGAAAAACACCGACGGTAGTGTTACCGAGCGATTACATCACGCTCGTATATCAAGATAACTGCATTTTAATCGAAACATCGCGAGGTTATGTAAACGCGGTGCATTTCCGAGGGCCGGTTCCTTCCTACCTTTCCATCAAACATAACTCCAATCTAAAAATCAGTGAATGAAGTGTGTACAAATATTGTTATCCTGCTTTCGTTTTTAAAAACTAGACTGTAAGATTGTATGTACGTATAATGGGCAGTATAGATAACTTGAAGATTAGAGAAACGATTGAAACGAATTTGATAACGAATATGCTTTTTAATTATTTTTATATTGGATTAAGAAAACTGTTATCGCCTGTGAGAAAAAGCACAGGTAGAAGGTTCGTAGAACTATTAAAACGCACTCGATAACGAACAAGCAATAAAACGATCGGAATATGTACGGTTTGGGTAAAATCGCTGTGGGAGAGGCAGGTGAACGGTTCTTTTCAAGAGATCGAAACTACGATTAAACGGTGCAGGCTTCGGATTTTTTAACGCGTATGAATAGAACGCGGAACGGACCGCAAATCATCCGAGTCTGCGTGCTTTGCTTCCAACCTGTTATTTATGCGCCATATCGCGGACCTTTTCAACGTGCATTTTTTCTGTAAAGTCGACCGATACCGCTTCGCAAAGGCATAAAAGAATACTGCCACGCTAACGATTTTTACGTCAAAGATAGTGAAATGATTATCAGTCATGTGACAAAAACGTTTTCAAATATGTAGTCTGATTTCTGTGCTAGTAAAACATGGTTTAAGAAATACGTTTTACATAATCATTTAAATGACGTGGCCTGAGTAAAAGTAGAGATATGATTTCCTTACTGACGATGAGTAAAAATACAGGCATGGGTGAGTCGGACTTCTGATTGAATAGAAATATGGACTATTATGGATATTAGAGGTGTACATACATTCAAGCATTCATTTTATAGGAAAAGTTGATTGTAAATTATTTTTTACCTGACTCATTTAATAGCATATTCAATTTCACGCGTGAAAGTACTTTTCACTATTTTCGACTTATATCAATAATGTAATGGCTTAATTGTTTTTTTATTTTCAATTGATAGCAAAATTATGCTCAGCTGAGCAGAAATTGGAGAATTTAGCTTATATGAAATATTGCATCAAATCTTGTGTCAATCATTATATAAATTACTATAGTAATTGCAAAACATTTGTTTCGCCTAAAAAATAGAGGGCCTGGATTTTAAGTTGAAAGTAAATGCTGTGTGAGAAGTGATCCGAAAGGCAGCGTAGAGAATTTTCTGTGGAAAATGGTGTAACGGCATGACGGTACCGATTCCATAAGTAACCACCTGCATCGTTTCTACACGCTGTTTGTCTCGGGTGTCGTGCAACGGCACCATTTACCAAACGCACACGCAGCCTCCAGCTTTCAGCTCCATCGTTGGAAGGCAAAACAGTACGTGTGCTGCGTTCAGTCGAATTCTGGGCTCCCAGTAAAATAACGAAAGGTATTTAGCGTGGTCAAAAATTTGTTTCAGAAGATAGAAATGTAATTAGGAATGAAATTACGATTCTGGTTAATTGGATACCACGAATGGAATTAGATAAGAGCGTGGCTTCTAGTAACCCATTAACGTTAGCCTTCTAACCCGGCACACATTCTCACCGAAATGGTAAACCTGACCTCGCTGTAAACAATAGTCAATTACGGGTTGGGACATCCATTGAAGAAGCATTAGCGGAAATATTTAGCGTCGTTCCAAACAGAGTCGAAAAGCGTTTCGCCGGAACATGCGGGTTACGCAGATTTTTCGGGGTCAAAGAGATTACCGTGCTATATAAGGCCCTGGTATAAATTAAACCCGTTAAGGCAAAGCGGGCATTATCGCCTTGCGTTACTCCTAGCTGGATTTTTAAACAATTTGTTTTATCATATTGGAGAGAATTTATACTTATTTTATATTATATTATATATTATTTATTTATATTTTGTATAAATGCATAAAATCTTCAGTGATCGCAAACTGTATTACTTAGGCAGAGTCAGACTAGAAGAAAGTTTTACGAGATCACGACGTCGGCGAGTTTCCTTAATGTAAAAATTCCTTAAACGTTCCCCATCGACTGTACGGTCGTAATTAATTCTGGGAGATCCGATCGGTTCTCACGATTGCTCCTATCTATACAGATTATTTATATTTTGTATAAATGCATAAAATCTTCAGTGATCGCAAACTGTATTACTTAGGCAGAGTCAGACTAGAAGAAAGTTTTACGAGATCACGACGTCGGCGAGTTTCCTTAATGTAAAAATTCCTTAAACGTTCCCCATCGACTGTACGGTCGTAATTAATTCTGGGAGATCCGATCGGTTCTCACGATTGCTCCTATCTATACAGTGTTCGGAAACGTTGCGAGAAGAGTTTCGACTTTCAGAAACTAATTATACAGCTGGTTAATTCGTGAACGTCAGGCCAGTATGTAGTCAGCCTCGATCGATTCCAATTAATAATCAATTTAACGCGTTATTTCATCCAGCTGGATTTTCCGCTATTAACCTATTTTCATCGTACCGACATAAACATTATAATAGAAGTTTATTTAATATTTCACATAATAATCTAAATTATAATTTTTTTTAATATCTAAATTATAATTGATGGAAGGGTTGTATTATATGATGGAAGGTTGTTATTTCAGATTGTAGTCAATACAATAATTGATATAGGAATTGATACAGGACTGGAAACAACATTTCATGCTATAGTCAATATAATAATTCATATAGGGATTGATATAGGATTTCACACACTATTTCATATAATAGTATATACAATAATTGATACAGGATTTGAGACTGATACCACATAAAAACGATATAAACGTTTACTACAATCATTGATATATGCGTGTGGTTATCAGTGCACTAAGCACTTAAATTTCTGTGATGCGGAGTTGGTTTAACTCATGCTAAACGGTATGCGTCTCTTATTCTTATTCTTCAACGACACGGTATAACTGTACCAGGGTGTGGCTTACACGCCGCGACGAGGAAACGGTCTTGCACGAAACGGAACGAAACGAAATAATAGCCCGTTAGATCGATCTGCTATGGCAACGCGTACTTACGTCTACGTGCTTACAACCCAAACTCCCCATGCGACCTTTTCCAATCCGTTTAACCCCGTTTATCGTTCACCTATTCCACACCTGGTTTATGTACACGGTGCGCAGTGATTCCAGTAGTAGATGCTAGCTGGAGAAAATTATTTTTTCACCATTCTTATTCTTAAAAAACGACTCTGTTTAATATCACATAATTTCTTGTCATTTCTTATCATTGCATTAATAACATAAACATGTAAATAAGTGAATGTAAAATGGTAGCATTGTACTTTAATTAATAGGATTTGTTCATTCAATAAATTTGAATAAATATAAAATTCATGTGTAGAATGGATTAACTAAATCGAGCAATAATTACTGTTATCGATTCATGTATATATCATTATTAAAAGGAGGAAAATGGAATGGATTGAAAGTCTGAGAACAGAATAAACGCTGTCTATTTTTCCACAGATCATTCAGTTTCTATTGAAACTACATATTGTACATGTAATTAGCGATTAAATCTAACATAATCTGCATTCTCGTTGCATTCCTTCGATTCGGTACGGTCATTGCCACCTGCAATTAAGCCCTGTCCCACCGTAAACAGCTCTCTATTCAACGAGAGAAACTTGGCCGAATCGTTTTATTCCCATTGTCGGCGCAAATTAATTCGGTTATTAGCGAGTGAACATCGGTTGGTAGCGATCGTAGAAATCCATTCTGTTTCAAACAAAAGACACGCAGCTATCGCGGAGATCTCCGTGCCTTCACCGCAAATAGTAACTAGAATAATATCCGGTGTCGATCGGTTGGTTTACCGGACGCGTAGTGTGAACCGAGCTTTATCCCAGCAAGGATCTCCTCCTCGACGAGCAATACCGAGATATCGTGTTCATCGCTTTATGTGCTTTAACCTGATTTATTGCCAGGAATATTTCTAAAGCGACGACGCGACTCGAGGAAAATCACGGTCGTTCTGGATTTATTGATCAAACATTTACGGTTTCATTACGCGTTTAGTGTTCAGTCCTTATTTACTGAAGAGTGCGATAAATATGAAATTTATATGGAAAGAGGAATTAGATTACATTGATTTTTTTCTATCTCAAGAATTCTTCATTTGAATTCTCTATTCAACAACCTGGGGGAAAAGCAATTTTACTACTCGAGCTTTTCCCAAGATTCG